TAAATAAATAAATAAATAAGAACCACTGAATTCAGTAATGTCTTACTGTTTAGTAAGCGTATAAGGAATTTACATTGTAAGATTTAGTCTTATAATATATTATTTGGTATCCCTTATAGGAACAAATACAAATATTTCATATCAACGGCTGCTTTGTGTCAACTGTTTATAAATCAAATGCACTTTTTAAGTGCTTTATCCAAAAATCAGAACTCATGAAAATATGATGCCAAATTTAGTTGATGATGATGATGATGATGATGATGATGATGATCATCATCATCATCATCTTAGAACTGCATAGCTGTCAAGGAGACTCAGTGGGGTACTGAACTCCCAACCTCTGGATCTTTAGCCAGGTGACTAAACTATGTCCTTAGCAAAGAAAAAACAATGAACATTTAAATTTCTTACCATTCATCCACTTTCACATGCAAATTGTACTTTTTTTCCTGAAAATCAAACAGTAAGATTCTATAAGTCACTCATTGTTTAATGTGGATCATTCATTCAGAATTGGGGGTGATAATCCCTGATTTTACAAATAGTTCCTTATTCAACGGCAGGAAAATCATTGAATAGGATGTTTGTCATAAACACATTTACTTGAAAGTAAGTATATCCCTGTAAATATTTACTTAACTAGATTAAACTTCAATTTTGTTAACACAAAATGAAATAAATGCTAACCACAAAGTCAATTAATTTATAGAAACATGAAGGAACAGAGAGTGGTGTAGATGATATGGAGTAATGAGATAGATATGAAGATATCCAGTTTTTTGATGGTTACCTTATGCATTGGAATTTGTTTTAAATTCCTATAAGCATCTACTTGTATGATGTAGTATGTAGTGTTACTTGTTACATGGACTCTAATGCCACAGAGTAGGTTCTTTGCATAGGAGTCGTTCTTTATTTTTGGATGTATGTGCATATATAGAGAACATTGTTCCAGCTATGTTAGAATCTGCTTCACATGACAAATCAGTGTCACATGAAGGATAAAGATATCTCCACATAATGCTATAATATACTGTATAAGCTTCCTCCCTTTCCTCACCCAAGGACTGTATTCTAAACCTACAGTTTCAAAACTGTTCCCATCACAACTGAAATGTTTTTATCCATCTAAATCAATGTACTACTGAAACTCGGGTTATTCAACACTTTGCAAAATAAGTAATATTCTAAATGCCTGGGGGCATTCCAGTAGGTGAAGGGGCCACTCTAGTTACTATACTCACCACCATTTTAACCCCAGACTGGGTGATACCCAGAGGGTGTGTGAATTAGCACTATGGTCAAGCTTCTAATCTAGGTTTTCACCTGTCTCCTTACTTAAGGCAGAAAAATCTCCTGACTATGCACTTTGTACTTAGCACACCAAGCAGACAAGGTAGACCACCCAAAATAATGAAATTAGTGAACCTAGCCTCTGGCCAAGGCACCTTCTTTAGACACTCAAATCCTTTTTTCCTCCAGAAGCATCACATGGTTAAAATATAGATAAGTTTGTTAAAATTATAAGAAAGGTATAAAGAATTCAAAAAGGTGGTTGTACAGTTCCAAAACAATGCAAAGGCAATAAGCAATGCATGTGCAGATAATTAAATGAATCAAATGAAAGCATTCCCCCTAAAATAATAAAAGTTAACTAATCCTGCCTGAAAGCTAACTGCCATCCATATAATCATAGCTGAGCTTCTTCTCCTGTGTCTCTATCCCTATTGCAACTATCCATCATCATCAGCAACTCCTAGAGTCTTTGACCAATAGTCATGCTGGATGTTGAGTTTCTGGTCCAGAACATCTTGAAGGCACCAGGATGGAGAAAGCTAACTGAAGTCTTTCTCATATTGCAGCCCCGAACAAATTAGTCTGACAGGAATTGTAGCGCAAAACATCTTGAAGGCATCAGGTTTGGAAAGGTCAGCACTTGCCATTCTCAGGTTGCAGCCTACAACCTAAAGGTGGATCAATAAAGGCTAGCCACACATGCTTGAGGAAGCTGTTCCTACAAGAAGACATTGCTTCCCCAGAATTTAACCAATAACTCTTAAGGTCCAAGGAACAAGCAAATGATCCTGAAATCTGTGAGCTACAAATCTGTGGTAAAGCTGCCGTGTGGCGAATATCACAGAATTCCTCTTTTCTCAATCTACTAATCTATTCTTACTAGCGTAATAATTTTAACATGCTATGCAGTTACTTCCTAAAGCTGAAAACAAGTGCTCACCTCTACTATTGGCACTTTCTCTCCTACGGGAAGGGAATTCAACATCACAGGTGGAACATCTTCTTTGATGCGGTAAGAACAGGTACACTGTGGAAAACAAAGGATCACCTCAGTCAGAAAAGGCTTGTTCTGGTTATGTGTAGAACTGGTATTGTTATTAAAAGAAGTTGACGTACAGGATTGTAGCGTGGCTTTGTTTTTGGCAGCACAACATCCAGAGTGGGTTCCTTGTACTTGGCATAGTGAAATGTCGTTGGGCAAGGGGGTATAACAATGGCATCTGAGCCCATCCTGAAGGAATGGCAGCCTTCACAAGATCCTTTCACAGAGACCGAAAGATCCTTCTCTGAAGATAAGAGGCAAAAGTATACAGAGAATCATCATCATCATCTGTGTTTGAAATCCTTCAAATAGCTTAATACCTCAGGATAAACATTAAGGGTGGTATTAGTGGAAGGCATTTCCTGCCTGCTAATGTCCCCCTTCACACTCCCCCCTCCAGAGTCCCTCCCCATTCTACCCAAATGGTCTGGTAGTCTTCCTGAATTGGGTAGACGGCGGGAAAATGCACTTCCAGCAACTCTCTTTTCCAAATGAGACATTTGTGAAAGATCATAATTCTATGATAGGACCAGATGATTTTTATTATGTCCTGATATGTAAAACCATAGAATTCAGAGAGTGTGTGTTTTGGTTCATGTGGGTTTTCCGGGTTGTTTGGCCGTGTTCTTAGGGTTGTTCTTCCTAACGTTTCACCAGTCTCTGTGGCTGGCATCTTCAAAAGCTTTTCCAAATGAGACATTTGTGAAAGATTATAATTCTGTGATAGGACCAGATGATGTTTATTATGTCCTGATATGTAAAACCATAGAATTCAGAGAGTGTGTGTTTTGGTTCATGATATGTAAAACCATAGAATTCAAAGAGTGTGTGTTTTGGCATCTTCAGAAGAGGGTGTTTCAGGGTGTGTTTTCTTTTTCACATGACTGCATGCAAAGTCCCAAGTTCAAATCCCAGCACTCACAGATGGGTTGGGAAAACTTCTGCCTCAAAACCCTGGGGAGCTGCTGTCAGTGTCAGCAATATCAGGGTTCATGAACTTAATACTAACCATAGAATTCAAAGAGTGTGTGTTTTGGCATCTTCAGAAGAGGGTGTTTCAGGGTGTGTTTTCTTTTTCACATGACTGCATGCAAAGTCCCAAGTTCAAATCCCAGCACTCACAGATGGGTTGGGAAAACTTCTGCCTCAAAACCCTGGGGAGCTGCTGTCAGTGTCAGCAATATCAGGGTTCATGAACTTAATACTGTATAAGATAGTGCCTAATGTTCTCAGCAATATCAGGGTTCATGAACTTAATATAAGATAGTGCCTGATGTTCCAATACGGAGCATTGTTGAACCATTCTTGGATATTAGTGATAAGATAAGCACTGGAATTACTGAGAAGTATCTAAACAAATGAGCTGGCTAGATAGCTCAGTGAGTTTGGCTGCAGAGCCAGAGACTGAGAGTTCAGTTCCCCCCACTGTGTCTCCTGTGAACACATCCAGCCCAGGATGCCTCCAGAAGAAGGGAATGGCAAATCACTTTGGAGCACTCTCTGCCTAGAAAACTCCTGAAAAGGGACATCATAAGTCAGAATTGACTTGACAGCACACAATTGTTATGGTTGTTGTTGTTGTTGTTATCTACTCAAACAAGGGCATCTTCCTCTGTTCGTCAGAATTGACTTGACAGCACACAATTCTTATGGTTATTGTTGTTGCTGTTGTTTTTATCTACTCAAATAAGGGCATCTTCCTCTGTCCTTTTTTAGCACTTTTGCACAGCATTGGAAACAGACAAAGAGATTATATCTTTCTGTAGTATGTAATTTAAATACTGTTTATAGCGATTTCTGTCATTGAAGAACACTCTTTTCAAGTGCTAATTGCAGATTTTCATTCATTTCTTATAACAATGTAAGAAATTCTGTTTGGCACAGTAAGGTATGACAAACAGTAAAAAGAATGGGAAATCATCAGGTTCAGATGGAATACCAGCGGAATATTATAAAACTTTTGAAGGTGTTTTAGTGAATCCATACAAGAAACTAATGGAGTTTATTGAACAGGAAAGAGAAATTCCACCTACATGGAAAGAAGCCATAATATCAATAATACATAAAGAAGGAACTGAACTGGAAGAAATTAAAAATTACAGACCAATCTCGCTATTGAACATAGACTATAAGATATATGCTTCAATATTAGCAAACAGATTGAAAAAAAGTTTTTGTACATATAATTCATGAAGATCAGTCAGGCTTTCTGCCAAAGACACAGATGAGAAACAATATTAGAACATTATTAAATGTGTTAGAATATTATGAGACACAACCAGGAAGAGCAATGTCTATTATTTCTCTTGATGGAGAGAAGGCCTTTGACAACGTCCATTGGAATTTCATATTAAAACAACTAAAAATCATGGAAGCAGGAAAAGATTTTGTTAAGGCAATAAGGACTATCTATAGACAACAGAAAGCAAAGATCAGAATAAATGGCAAAATAACACAGAATATAAAAAACACAGAAAGGAGCAAAATAAGGATGCCCATTGTCTCCCTTACTGTTTGTACTATTTGTTGAAACATTATTACAAGTTAGAACACAGATATAAAAGGACTCAAAATAAGAAGGGAAGAATATAAAGTACAGGTGTTTGCAGATGACATGGTCTTTATTCTAGAGGATCCAATAAATTCAATAGGGGTATTAACAGAAACAATAAAAAATTTGGACAAGTATCCAGACTAAAAGTAAATACACAAAAAACACAAATTTTGACTAAAATATGAAGAAAGAAGAGATCCAAAATTTAATAGAAAGGATGGGTTTTAAGGAGGGGAAAAATTAAATACCTAGGAATCCAGATTACAAAAAACAACCAAGTATTTTGATAAAAGACAATTACATCAAATTAATTAGTATGATCGAAAAAGATCTGGAAAAATTGTCAAAATTTCAATTATCATTTATGGGGAGGATTGCAGCTGTAAAGATGAATATATTAACTAAAATTACCGTATATCTCTTTTTCAATACCAGTCCTTACAGAACAATTAATACTTCAAAACCTTACAAACAAATGAAGTTTGTCTAGCAAGGAAAAAAAACTAGAATAAAAATAAAAGCATTTCAAGACATAAAATTAAGAGCAATCTTTGGACTTACAGATTGGTTTTTATATTATAGAGCCTGTGCATTAGTTTGGATAAAGGAATGGATAGTCTTATAAAATGACAGAATACTAAAATTAGAAGGATAATAGTTAAACTTAGGATGGCATACCTTCCTATGGTATCAAAAAGCAAAGGATAACAAACAATTCAAGCACTACCTGATAAGGAAAGCTTTGAACTGGGTTTGGACTAAGATCCGGGAAGAAAATTACCAAAAAGTTCCTGAATAGGTCTCACCAATGGAAGCATTCACACATTCAACATTAATGGAAAAGAAGAAACTCTTGAGATATAAAGATATGTTAAAATAAGACTTAAGTATGAAATTAAGAGAAGAATTAGAAGAGCAAGGTATAATATTTGATTTGTGGACAAACACACAAATAGATTCAAGATATGCAAGGGACAAAACAATAGGCTTCTCTAAGGAACAGAGACCACTAGATAAGGTACTTCTGAATGTATAGGAAAAATTGATCAAAAGGTTTATAATAATTTATTAAAATTAAAAATGAAAGATGAAATAGTTAAAGAATGTATGATAAAAGAGGCCACAATGTGGGCCACAATATTAACTTGAAGACATATGGGAAGACAATATTAAGACACCTCTTGATATTTTCTGCTTCTGTAAGGTTCCTACCATTTTTGTCCATCTTTGTGCAAAATGTTCCTTTAATATCTCCAATTTTCTTGAACAGATCTCTAGTTTTTTTCCCTTTCTATTATTTTCCTCTGTATCTTCGCACTGTTCATTTAAGAAGG